TGGCCCCTCTTTTCTGGGTCAAATAATGAGGAAAAGAATGTCAAGTTGAGAGCACTGTCTTGAAAAAGAAATGGCCACCCTTGATGTGCTGCTGTCTGTCACTGCTGCAGTTGGCTTTGGAAAAGTTGCTGTTGACTCTCCAGCAATCTCCTCCCTTCTCTCATTTATTAGACTTTGTGGCTTGTTTGCTTTTATTTGAACAGCATGCTCTCAGAAAGTGTGGTTGGTTCTTAATGAATAAGCTTTATGACATCACTAGGCTTCATCCCCTTGTGATATCACCAAGATCTCAGAATTGGGCTAGGATATACAAGTGGCTGGGATGAGCCAGACCTTGTATGTTTTGTGTGCTGTTTCTGACTTAGGGTAACCCTAAGATGAATCTATCATGAGGTTTTCTTGGCAGATTTGTTCAGTGAAGGTTTGCCATTGCTTCCCCCTGAGGCTGAGAGAGTGTGACTTGCCCAAGGTCACCCAGTGGGTTTCATGGACAAGCTGGGAACTGAATCCTGGTCTCCAGAATCATAGTCCAACACTCAAGATCTAGCAACCCTAATCATAATTTTTCAGACTGTCATTAAACTCAGGCCATAGATTTTGGAAGTCTACACGTAGGGTCTATGTGTGTGCTTTGGTTCCTATTTATTCCAATAATTTATTCCTTGTTTCTTTCTTGTTAATTTTTTTCATGGTTCTTAACAGCCTTTGTTTCAACAGCTTCATTACATGGGTCTACAGAATTGTTATTTTCCCCACACACGTTCTTGAGCAAAAGGTCGTCCCATAGGGATATTTAGCCTTCAGAAATAAAGAGAGAAGTAGAGACACTGGGATCTGGCTGTGAAAGTCTCTGAGAAAATAAATGTCAGGGTTGGGGTGGCTGTAACAGACTTAATCTGCAGTACAAGGGGATTAAAATGACTTTCTCACCACTGCAAGAAAAAGAGAAAGGGGAAGGAGAATGTGAACTACAGATGGTGAAAATAAGGCCTGGAGTTGAAAGGAATGAGAGGGAGCTAAAAAACCCCAAAATAAAGAGTCCTCACGTTTCAAGAGCTGTATCCCATTTTGTATGGAATGTGGAGTGGCTTCCACTTAAAAGAAATCTGAAAGCAAACTGCATTAACTAAACTAACCTGAAAGCAAACTACATTCCTCAAAACACACACACACATGTTCTTCCGTGGTCTTCAGTCAAGATAGGCAACTTTGCTAGGCTCTGTTGATTTTAAAAGCTAGAGAATACCCAAAGAGGTTCTCTAAGCACTTGAGAGAAACTATGCATGTTTTTGCTAGTGGGCCTTTCCTCCCCTTTTAACAAAACAAAGTAAAAAAGTTTATGGTCTTTGATCTTCACCACTTCTGTATTCAAAAACGGCCGTTGAGTGTCCTCTTACTCATTTAAGCTGACCGAGGCTTGGGAACAGGAAGGAAAACGGATTTGATCAAGTGATACTTGACCACACTTTTTGACTGTGTGAATTGAGATGTGAGAAGTTTACCCCTCTATCAACATGTCTGTAGCTGAGAAAGTAGATTCAGGTGGGCTACTGAGTGACACTGTGGCCAGTATACTTTGAGTGAAATTCACAAGTATAAACTGCATTATGCACACAGTGATTTTTGTAGACAATACACAACCATTGTATCCAGCTGATGGCGGGGTAAGAAGTCACATATGTGTATGATAGCATGTGAATGCATATTGCTATTGTGCAATTGCAATTGTGCAGTGGGGTTGTCAACCATGCACATTAACAATTGCTCCACGTACAGTGCACTACAATTTATCCATATACACTAGTGTTCAGTATAGGGGTGGCATAATCCATGTATAACTTAATTCTGTTGGTGGATATTTATCCTATGCTGAGTGATGTAGGATCTCAGCTTGTGATTGTATCTGTTTTTGTGACTTTGGATTTGCTGTAGGCAAGGTCAGTTTGGACATGCCTCTATGGTTATGCAGCCTACCCAGGTCCACCCAAAGGCCAACTGAGGCACAAAGTCTTTCAGCACATTCTATATGTGGTAAGTCCATATTCTACCAGAAATACTTATACAGCAGGACAGTATTTTAGGTCCAGTGTTAGTACAGCTCAGAGTGCAAAAATGAGTGATCTAGCTACAAATCTCTGCTAAGTCACGAAACTCTTGGTCTAGTCACAACCTGCTTTGAAGACTGTTGTGGGGAAACATGCTACCATAAGCTCCTTGACAGAATAACAGGATAAAAATATAAGTTTTTTTAAATGGAGTGCCATGCATAGTCTTTACACAAACATTATATCTATAGCATGGCAATCATGTGAGCCATGGTAGTGGTACCCAATCCTATTAACCATTGTGTGTATACTGTCTTACTTGAAACTGTGTAGTCTCTGAATTGCAATCTAGCAACCTTAGCCACAAGATAAGCAAGAACCTAGTATCTTGGCTTGTTAAGAAAAATTGAGGTAAAATAAACTATATTTCTATTTACAAGCTTGTGTATTGAAACAGGGTTAACCCTCCAGAAATTGAGATATTGAGAAATCTCATTAGACCTACACATAATCTGTAATATATATCCTCACAAACACGGCAATGGCATGTCAAGCCAACTCTTTGGTGCAGAGTTCCTGACTTGATCTGGTCTTAATTACGCTGAATTCTATGAGAGGATAAGTGCTTAAGCTTAGAGTTGTTGACACTGGAAATGGCCCAGTCTAGCCTGGGGTGGATATTAGGGAAGGGAACTTGGCTTTTGTAGCTATCACCACATCATGTGTTGCGCAAATGTTCGCTTTAGTTGTAGGTAATGGATTTCCGACAGCATCTGGGATCTTTCTCTGGCATGTCTAATCTGAAATAATATATGACCCAAGCACTTTGCAGTATAGGGTTTCCCCACAATTTAAAATAAAATTAATATTGTTTTAATTCTTGGCTCATGTGGAAAGAAAGAAAGAAAGAAAGAAAGAAAGAAAGAAAGAAAGAAAGAAAGAAGACCCATTCACTCTTGAGCTATGGTACCTAGCTTGTCCTGTCATTGGTTGGCCACAGCTACTTGTATTGGACTGGAATATTGCAATGTGCTTTATGTAAACCTGACATAAATTGGAAGCTTCAGTGGGTCCAGCACACTTGAGCCTGGCTCCTATCAATCAACAGGCATCGGAGAGCAAATTACTTCTGTCTTGGCTACCTATTATGTCCTAGGCCCATTTCTAACTCATGTTTATGATCTTTAAAGCCCTTAACAGCCTGTGCTCAGAGTACCTCAGGGAATATCTCTTCTCCTACATACTTCCTTCTCTTCTTCAACTGAAGTCAAATTAGACATCAAAACATCCGTGCATTTGGGAGTTGTATGGACAGATTTTAAAATATAAAGTGTCAGGAAAGGTTGCCCTCATCAACAATGGGACCCAACCAGGGTAGAGTGGGGGGCTCAAAGTAATTCAGGCTTCCATACTTACTATTCAGAAGGTTCCTAACTATAGACAGGAGCAGTCATATTCATGTAAATAGCAGGCATGACAAGAGGGGTAATCAAGATTTGGACCTCCGAGGAGAGCAAAGCTCTACTGCCCAAGTTGTTGATGTAGACTGAGCCTAAAATTTACATCAGTTTGGAAGAGTTAACATTTTGATTAAGTTCTAGAATCCTCCAACCAGTATGGTTAGCGATCTTTAATCAGAACTGCCGTTGTTGTTGTTTTTGGTGGTGGCAGCCACATTAGGGAACACTCTGCTTAAACAAATGCTCATCATATAAGAATAATACTTCTTTAATGTGACTGCATGCTTTCTTTTGCTGTGCTGTAAGTCAGTATAGAATAAGAAGAGCAGAAGTGCTTGAGATTCCAACCCCCTACACAATATTGTAAAACTCTTTTATCCTCCTATGGTATCACCTTCCAAAATGTTAAACTGCACTGCCAACTAAGGCTGGATTCACAGTTCTTAGGCATATTTGTTGTTGTTGTGTGTCTTCAAGTCATTTTTGACTTACAGCGACAATAAGGCGACGCTATCATGGGACTTTCTTTGTTCAGAGGAGGTTTGCTGTTGCTTTTCCCTAAGGCTAAGAGCATGTGACTTGCCCAAGGCCACTCAGTGGAATTCATGGCTGAGATGGGAATCAAACCCTGGCCTCCAGAATATAGTCCAACACTCGAAAAACGACACCACTTTTTTTT